TTTCATTCATTTCATTTCATTTCATTCATTTCATTTCATTCATTTCCTTTCATTCATTTCATTCATTTCATTCCTTTCATTCATTTCATTCCTTTCATTCGTTTCATTCATTTCATTTCATTTCATTCAATTCATTTCATTTCATTCATTCATTTCGTTCATTCATTTCATTCATTTCATTCATTCATTCATTTCATTCATTCATTTCATTTCATTCATTCATTCATTTCATTCATTCATTCATTTTAATATCAACAAAATTCTCTTTACCAACCAATCTTCTCATTTTATTGACGTACATTTCAGCTCGATTATTTGAACATATTGCGTTAGATGGACCTAATACTGAAATTGCAAGGTTAATAATAATTAACATTTATTTTTTTCCCTTTATATTTCAACAAAAATTTTACAATCAATTAATTCATTTAATTTAATTTTTTAAATTTTTATATGTTTGATAGTTTTTTCAATTTGCCAAAAATAACCATATAAATTAATTCAAAACTTTAATTAAACTTAGAAATTGTGTACATTTTTAAGAAGGATAATTAATTTTTTTTATTTTTATTTTTTAGAAGTTTTTACATTAATGATTTAAGATCTCATACATTGCAACGTACACGACAACCAACCAAATGCGCTCACTGCGAAACGCTTTCATTACTTTCAACGATTCAATGCTCGAAATGTGGTATGACGTGGCATAAATCATGCTTACCACGTATTACTGTACCGTGTGATCAGAATCCGAAAAGTTTTTCCGATTTATCTCGACATACCAGTGTATTTGGTGTACCTTTATCCAGTCAATTAAGTGGACCTTCTAAATTGGTACCAGTTGTTGTGGAACGTTGTGTTGATGAGCTTCAAAAACGTGGATTAAAAGTGAAGGTTCAATTTTTTTTCTTGGGACTTGAAACATTGAACGAATGTTGATGAAACACTAAAAGTTTCAGGAAATGTTATATTAATAATGAAAATTAATATTTAATTTTTTCACTTTTAAAACTTATGATAATATTATTATTATTTTTTTTTTAAGGGAATTTATCGTACATGTGGTGTGAAAAGTAAAATTGAGCAAATATGTGAAGATTTTGAGCGAGCAAGTAATGGTAGTGAAGTGGATTTAAGTAGCTATCATCCGATGAATATTGCTTCCGTTATTAAGCTTTATCTGAGAAAATTGCCGGAACCGTTACTGACGCATGAGTTATACGACGAATGGATAGCATTTGCTGAAGTGAGCTATTTTCGAATTACTTTTTCATAATTTACATTTTACTTGAATTATTCCCGGGAAAATTATATTTTATTTTGCTAATTAAATCAATTTCATTTTGATTTGTCAAAAAAGTATTGACTTTTTGCGATATTGAAATAAAATTATGGATAGTATCTCGAAATTGGATAGTATCTAAAAAATAATAATAGTATCAATGGAAAAAAAAATGTATAAATGAAGAAATGGATATCAATTATTTCTTTATTTAATCTTCTAATGAATTTTTTTTTAATTATTAAAAAAAATTTATTGTAAAAAATTTCAGAAAAATTTAGTTGAGGAGGATGCAGAAATCGTTGATCATATCAGATCATTGATGAAAAAATTACCAGCCAGAAATATGGATGCATTGAAATTTTTGTTGCTTCATTTAAAACGAGTCACCTGGTCACTTTCTTCTTCAAATTTTCAAATTCAATTTTCATTCAAAAACTTTCATCAATATTTCTTGTAATTCCCAAATTGTTCTCATGAAATTCAATCAAATTACAAATTTGAAGTGCTTACAAAGAATATTTCATATATTTATATTCAATCACTTTTTTTTCATGTAAAAAATTATGATTAAAAAATAGCTAATAAGAAATAAATAAATGAGTGAAAAAATGTCTTAAATTTTTCAACGAATTCTTTCTTCTAACATACATAACTTTACAAACTAATTTAATTCAATTTTACAGTTGCAATCTCAAAAATGTTTAGGTTTGAAATGGACAATTTAATGACAGCATCAAATTTGGGTGCGGTAATAACGCCATCGATGATTTGGAAGCATCCATCGCCATCCTCAACCGCCGCCACCAACAATAATTCCTTTCTGTCTAATGCTCATTTGATGAGTAAAGCTGTGGAATTAATCATCAAATATGCTTTCGTTAGTTTTTTTAATATTCTAAATCATAGAAATTTGAAATAATTGCAAATGAATCGGAATCAAATTTGAAATCATTATAGCAGAAATTATAATAATCACAAAAAGTGATATCGTAGCATTTACAACAACAACAACAGCAGAGAAAGAATAACAATAATAATAACATTTTTGTTTCACTTAATGCTTTTCATTTTGAAAATTATTTAATGTTATTAGTAATAGCTTTATGATAATAGTTATAATAACAATTTTAAATTATAACTTGGAATTTTGATTTAAATTTTGAAATTATTGAATAATGAGATTGTAAAATCAGTGCTAAAATATGCTATCATTTATATTTGATTATCATGACATTGACGGTAATAATTGAAGTAATGGAATGTTCAAATGGTAATAAATTTGAATAAATTTAGGAAGTGTTCAATGTTGACGTCGCTGAGGACAGGCGAATTTTTTTCCAGCAGTATCCGGATGCCGTTGATGCATTTTCTGTTGATCCGGAATTGGATGATCGATTATGCGAGGGCGAAGGTACGTAATATCATGTTGAACTTCATATATTTCCAACTTTTTTCTTTATTTTTTATTTTTTTTCCATGAAACGTTGGAACAGGGAAAATAGATTGGAAATTAAAAAAAATTAATTTAATTAAATTTTTTTTCTATTCCGCTCATTTTTCATTTTTCATCATATTGTGCAAGTCTGATAAATTTCCAATTCAAACATTCATTTTTTCAAACAAAAATTAAATTTTAATAACAAATTACTTTTTTTCATGTTTGTTTTTTCTCCTATAGGAATAGTGGATGAAGATTTACTTGAAGATGAAACAGATGCAGTTTGTTCCACTTTTCTACCGCAACCACCAACTCCGGATTTGTTGAAAAATACGTCTCGTAACAAAAACGAAGCCTGTAAGAATTTTTGTTTGTTTGAAACCTGTAGAAATTTGAAAAAATTAAAAAAATATTTCCTTCGATAATAAATTATAAAAATTGAATTATAGATTCAATAAATGAAGATATCGATCTGGATAGTCCTTCGGGATCAGCACGTGCCAGTGGATCAAGTCAATCCGGTGGACTATCTGCACGAGCTTATTCATTAACAGGTTAATAATAAATTAATTGA